GTCCCAGGTGGTAATCCGCTCGCTCTCAATGGCCCAAACCCTGGTATATGGTTTCAAAACAAGGCTGGATTATCACCACTTTTGAGAGTGAAAAATGTTGGTAATGCCTAGCAGCCTGGTTTTTTGTTTGGAGTACGGTCTTTTGTTACAGGGCCCTGTTTCCTTTGTGCGAGTTCGGAAACCCCGGCCACGCATTTAAACCATACATCTCCGATTCTGGAGTCCCCGGCAGGAAGTGGTTAATGGTGCACTGTGGTGTTCATCTTGATTACATTAGACAACTTTTTTTGTTGCATCCAATTGGCTTTACTAAAGCAATCAAAATACTATGTATAAGCTCTGCAACACCCTTCAGCACATAAAATCATTGGAAAGCTCCATAAAATAAGGATGCTGGATTGAACAGGGTTCTTTTTATGTCAAGACCTCTTTCATTTTCCACTAAAAACAACAATCCTGAATGGATCAAAGTGGTTCATGTTAATACACAAGTAAATAAGGTCAGTAACTTGTCACAAATTGACTGATACAAATTGCACAAGTTCAACCGAAATTTGTCCGCAAAATGGACTGTATAAACTTTTACTGGACAGAAAAGAATTGAGTTGTGTTATGTAATTTAACATATCTTGGCAATGTATCATCAGATTTCATTGAAGTCTTCAGTTTGGGAAAGAAAGTGACCTAAACTTTCAAATCATTTATTCTTTTGAGTGATAACTTTGACCCAGGGTGTTGACATGGGAATACTCATTGAAGATGCCACTTCCGATCTTGAAAACATTGCCGAATTAGTTGAAGAAGCCTTGCCCAGCAGGAGGATCTTTCCTCGTTCTCATTCGTGTCCAAGCATAATGCAGTTGATGGCATCAACAGGGGCAGCTGATGTAGAGACAGAAGATGCTGAGATGTTGAGTACTTCACCTCGGACTGCTGTTCAGGCTTTCCAGCGAAAGCAGGCTCCAATGTCCAGCTCCTACAAAGAAATATCTGTCCTTGAGCAGCGTCTTCTCCAGGAAGAGAGTCCTGGTATTGTTCATAAAGACAGCGATCTTCATTCTGGTGTAAATGTTCAAGAAACTGCAATCCGGGAAGGCGCAGGCAAAACCATAGAAGGAGCTGCGAGCCAAAACATGGACCAGACAGAAGTGACATCACGAGCAGCCGCAGCACCGTCAGCGAAGTTTCTAGCACCTCCGGATGCCTTGCAGATGACCTCAGATCAAACCAGGCCTCGTGGAGGGCAGAAGAAGCCACGGCCTGTGTCATTGCCTCCGCAGACTGATGGAGAAGAGTTGCAGATAGCTTCTGTGGACAAGAAACAGACTTATCTAGGAGTGGAGAACTTGAAAGGGCAATCTGGAACAGAGCTTCACTCCATGGGGCGGCCCAGGGGACATACTGTGGCTTCTATGGTGTCAGCTGCATCAAGTGAGGACAGTGCAGGAAGGAGACGGAGGACATCTGAGAACAGACCGAGGACCATGAACAGAACAGGGTTGAGTCCTAGGTAAATCCACTCTCTTCAGTAAATTTAAAGAAGAAACTAATTTCTCAAGAGGTTTCCGTGGTGTACAGCAGTCCCTTGGATACTTCTGTGGCAACAGTAGTACGACCCTTGAGATACTTTATAGCAACAGTAGTGTGATCCTTAGAATTTTTTGGGAGGGGGATTTCTTATGGTCTGTTTGTGATGGGGGCTGAAATGAAGTTTAGCAATCTGTGTTCTTGACAGAGTATGAATTTAGTGTGTAAAGTGCATTGCAGTTGGAAGTTAACACTCTGAATGGGAGTGGGAAATTTTAGGAAAATAATTTTTGTTCACTTTCACATTCACACATTCAGACACTTTCTCACTTGTGTGAAAAGGTGTAAAAACCTTGTTCCACTTATAGGAAAATCTGTGAAAATCTTTGCGTACTTGTGGGAAAAGCTTTGAACATCTTTTTTTCCCACTTTAAGAAACGTTTTTCATGTTTTGTGAAATAAACTGAATTCCCTGCAAAGAGAAACATTGCAATGAGAATCTTCCATCCCCAGGTTAACTTTCAGTCATCATTTATTGCATTTAGGGTTTTATACACCCTATCTGATTGTACAATTTATGGGTTTCTACAAGAAGAGTTTCATGATCCATTTCCAGCCCAGTGTTTAATCCTTGTACAATGTTTCTTCACAGTTTTGTCTTCCTTCAACTCTATTATTCTCCAATGTTCTGTGATGACCAGGAACGACCTGTAGCCCTTCCAATGTCACAAGTATGTGGCCTCCTTAATCAAATCAGTCTGCCTCACATGTCTTACGTAACTATTTATCTAATTTTTGCCGGCAGATTAAAGCTCTGGCACAAGGACAATTTTCTATTGCCCAAGGCAACTCCCAGGAAGTAGACATAGATTGCATTGACTTTTTTCATGCATGGTAATGCCAGCTGCAAATGATTTGAGACTAAGAAGTTCTTGTAACTAACAATATCTAATGGTGGGATTGAATGTCAGAAACCTGCTCAATCTTATAAGATAGAACAGTTAAACCAACTGATCATCTGTTCATTGTTCAGATCACACTTTGCTTTGTGTTTCAGTGTTAGATATGGGAGTTTCTTTGTTGTACCTTGATAAAGTTTTAGGAGCCAAGTATTTCAAATTTGCTGGTCAGACATCCAAATTGCTCATTGTAATCTGTTTGCAGGTTACTCAGCGAGCAGTCAAGGTACTAGACCGAATTCCACCCTATGACACACATAAGATAGGAGTGCTGTATGTTGGACCAGGCCAGGTAAGCTGAAAAGTGATGATGTTATCTACATTCTACCAGACTGTCCAGTAATCAGTCAATTAAATGGTTTCCTGACTCCTCTCTCTTCCTTAGTCTAACGACCAGATAGCCATCTTGTCCAATGTCTATGGCTCCAACCGTTATGTGGAGTTCCTTCAAGGTCTGGGTAGGTTAATATCACTCAAGGATGTGTCTCCCAGTGAAGTCTACACCGGTGGTTTGGACCATCAAGGAGGAGATGGCAAGTTTACTTACTGGTGGCATGATGATATCATGCAAGGTTAGTGAGGTCAAGGGTCAAAGTTGAGAATTTTAGAATTCTCATTCTTTTGGGAATTTAGATATGGTACTTTGAGATGGTAATGATGTATCATCATTATTGCTAATGTGTAATTATAAAATTGCAGATAGGTCAACCTGTAGCATGAATATATGCGATGTTAAATTTGTCACATACATCAACTTTACGAGGAGACTGCACTGTTTTCAAAACTGTTAAATTCATCATCCAGGATTGTTTGCAACTAGGGTGGTGCTCTGGGAAAGTTATAAAAACTGGCTGACTTCATTTGGAGAAATCAGGCTTTAAAGTTTGGAGTAAAATTTCATTGAGATCACGCAAAATTGACTGCCTGAAAGAAGGCAAACTAAATTTATGATAGCATCAAACAAGAACTTTTTGGATATTAACAATTGAAATGGTTAGGAAATCTGAAAGAGTAAAACAAATTGGAGACTATCTCGCCACCATTTCCAAAACAAGTTTGTTTTCCCAGATCAAACCACAATTAGCCTACATTAGAAATTCAGCAAAGTTCCTTCTTTACAAATTATGCTCTTTACTAAATTTTGTCCCAACTCCAAGAATCTACAGAAAATATTTGATAACTTCTGAAATTGATCCCAAGCTAAGATACCTTCAGGCCACCCAGGCAGAACAGTTTCTCAGTTACATGATGGGACAACCCTTAAAAAGTAAAATATTAAATGAAATAAATGAAAAACACATGTTTATGTGGATGATTTTAATCTATTTGTAGTGATCTTCCACGTGGCGACCCTCATGCCCAGTAAGGAATCGGACCCAACCTGTAACTCCAAGAAACTTCACATTGGTAATGACTTTGTGTCCATTGTATACAATGAAAGCAAGGAACCCTACCAACTTGGAACCATCAAGGTGGGTTGTCATCTGTCATGTGTTTAGTTACTGTGGTTACTGTAGTTACACCACACAAATGGCTCTCATCAATCTGTATGTTCTCCCTGTGGATTGGGTAAACGTATAGTCCATCATTTGTGCTTTACGCTCGTTGAGGCGACAACATTACTCAAAATTTAAAGAAGAGTGCCTAAGAACAAACCTGATGAAGTTTCTGCTCTGTGGATACTGTAGATTCCAGGAAAAACAATATTCTCTGATTTCAATATCAGATCAGAATTTGCCAAGTCATGTTTTGAATTGCACCTGATTTTGGTGTCTGGGACATGTTTTCACATTCATTTGAATGTGGCTACTGGATTGGATGATGTTAAACAATGACCCGACAAATTCTAGTTACTGTGCCATGTATTGTGTCAGTGGTTATGCACGCTTCTGATGGCAATTTTCCAAATACATGCGATATGGCCGTCTTTCATTGTTCTCTTCGAAATGATAGCTCGCCAGAAAGGATAATTCCATGGAGTTTTGTCCCATAACAGTCTTTAAACTAAGCTCTTCTTTTAACAATATTTTCATTACTTTTTTGGATAACTGAAAATGATGGAATTTAACTTCAACAGCCGCGTAACACAATTCAATCTAGGTATGTCAACTTCAAGACTCTTTGTGAGGGCACTTATTGTGTATTTTTTACAATTTATTTTTCTGAAGCTGTGGGAAAACTTTGAAGCTACAATTAAGGTGATTTATAATCTGTTTGTATACAGCCAGTTATGCGCACAGGCTGATTTCCAAATCCCATTCAGAATGTACTGTATCTTATTCAAAATGTACATGTTGCTGTTCATTTCAGGGCCAGTTTAACTTTGCAGAGATTGTCATTGAACCCTTGGACAGTGAGAGCAACCTGGTCACAGTTCAAGCCAAACAAGGTCAGAGGTTGTAAAGGCTGTTTGAATGGCATGGTCCAAACTCACCTGTTGCAGGTCCAAATTCCCATGTTATTTACATTTGGTGTTTGGTTTTGCTTGTTTGCTTTTTTGCTTCAAACAGCAATAACAATGAACTCCCAAACATTCTTCCCCCCCTCCCCGCAAAAAGAAACTTCCCCTTGAATGAGTCATTTGTATTATTTTGCCACTCTTATGTGTTTCAGTTCATTTTAATTGAAAAAAGGAAAGACATGCCAAATGTGGGTTTTGTTTTGTTTTTTTATTGATTCAGATTTGGAGGCTATGATTGGGAGTCGTGGTCCACGTATGATTACCAACAAGAATCTGCCATTGTTGGTGCGACAGATGGCACTACATGCTAATGTGAGCAAAACAAACTTTGGGAAAGTTTTCAGAAAGAAATTTATGCTTCTTGAACTCTCTTCTTCTGTCACAGAAGGAGAAATGCTACCATAACTGGTACATCTATTATACCCAGTGGTAAATACAAACACTAAACTTCCTCTGCATAATTCCTATAACCCTAACCATGCTGAACCCAACAAGGTTATGCAGGATTTCAATAGTCCCTAGGGGGTTAACCATGCTGAACCCAACAAGGCTATGCAGG